TTTTTTCTGGTAATTGTTTCTTTTCTGTGTTCATACAGTTCTATCTTGTGCACAGAACTTAATGGAGACCCTTGGTTTATTAAACTTTTTATTTAATTTTATTTAATTTGTGCAAAATTATTTGCTCACGGTTTAAATGTTTACTGGCTTTTTAAAAAATGTATATCTTTGTATCTTCCATTTGGTCATCCTGTTTTTTCCTCTTTTGTTCTTACAGCACCCTTGTATGGCATTTATTTAGGGAGGGATATAAGTTTTTTCGTCATCAGCTATTTGTAGGAGGGGTCATGTTCCTGGTTAGATGGAGTTTTTCTACTGGCCCAGATCTTGTGTGTGTGTGTGTGTATTCCTGTCAGGCTACCCTCTCCGTTCCCCACCGCCCTGCCTGCTTTGCAGTGGAGGTGGACCGTTTTCTGTGTGTAATAAAGGCCTCCGTCACCCAAGAGTGATGAGTAATGAAGTTTTCTGGGACTTCTTGGTCCCCCTTGCTCCTCCTGCTTCTTGGAGCCACACAGGGGCCAAGGATCCTCCTGCGGCTGTCCTGCGTGTTTCGTTTCTGCTGCTGCGAGCAGAGGTCAGGTTTCACATCTTAGTTCGACTTTTCATTTTGGAGAACTGTACTTCATTTTGCTTCTTAGAAGTGAATTTGTCTAGCTTGATTTTTGTTGTTGAGAAGTTTGCGGTGATGTCACATCTGGGACAGCCATGATGGCCTTTCTCAGGCACTGTCCCTCCCCAGCGCCGTTGTCCTGTTTTTACTGCTTGAGGCCGTCCTCCAGCTCATTTGGTGGTTGAACACTTCTGCGGTTTGCTGTTTCCCTCTCTCCTCCATACTTAGGAGTTGTTTCTAAGGAGAGAAGGAGAAACGCCATCTTACACCATCATCTTCAAGCCAGAAGTCTAAGTGTTCTTTCATTGGGTGATGATGTTAGCTTCCAAAATAATAACAAAAATGTTCTTAGCTGTGTAAACAGAGCATGTAATAGCTCTCCAAATTGGTGATAGTGCATTTTTCTTTAGATTTACACACATTTGGTTATTTTAGCCAATGATATTAGAATAATTATAAAACATGTAATAATTATAATAAGTTAATTATTTACACACATACAGGGAGTGACATTGAATTGCTATTTTTGACCCTTAAAAGCACCCAGCAAACATTTCTTTCTCTCTACTTATTTATGTATCTGTGCAATTCCAAGTAAAACATAAAATTGTAGCAAAACTCAAAAATCAATAAAGATATACAGTGAGAAGTAAATTCCCTGCTGGTCTCTCAGATTCCCACTGCACAGCTATTCTTCCCAGTTTCTTTTTTGTCTTTTGAGAGATATTAAATGTAAAAACAAATATGTATATTAATGTTTTTCTATTTTTATTCAAATACTATACTATGCACAGTGCTGTGCACCTCTCTTTTTTAGTTAATGTACCTTGGAGATAGTTCTTTACTAAAGCCATAAGATACTTTTTATAATTGCATAGTATATCACTGTAAAAAAAAATATATATCCCAAACATTTAAGCTTTTTGCTATGGATGTTGATTGATTGATTGATTGCTATTATGGCCACGGCCACTCTGCAATAAATATCCTTTTATGTATGACCTTGTGCTCATGTATGAATATATTGCTAAGATAAATCAGCAGATGTTTATCAAGCAGATGGTTGGTTTTGTTTTTTTTTTTTTGGATCTCCTGTTTCCTCAAATGCTACCCTTTACACCTTACCTACCTGCCCAGTCTAACATAGCTACCTATCATGTCCATTGCATTATATTTTAAAAACACTTTATCATAGAACTTTTAAATATGTAAAAAGTAGTGAATAGTGTAATGAATCTTCCATGTACCCATCAATCATCTTTATCAATTGCCAGTATTTTGCCAGTCTTAATTCATTGCTTTCCATCTATACACATTTTTTTCTCCAGCAGTTTTAGGGTAAATTTTGGATACGCTTTTACATGTGAACAATTCAATATGTATATCTAGCACATAAGGACACATTTAACAAAAGAAAACAAAGCAACTCAAACCATTACCATCGTACCATTATAACATGGAACAAAGTTAACAGTATCTGCCTCATCTCATCTACTACCTATCCTATATTTTCCTGTGTGACTTTAAAATACACTTCAGTTTTTTGTTTGAGTCAGGATCAAAACAGCTTCTTCACATTTGGTTAATGTATATATTTTTAACTTGTAAATTTTTCTTTCCCTTCTGTTTTCATGACCTTTTTTTCCCCTAAAGAGATATGTAGATAGATAGATAGATAGATAGATAGATAGATAGATAGATAGATAGGAATTCTTCAAATTCTGGATTTGGTTGACTGTTTCCTCCTTGTGGTGGCTTTAATATATTTCTCAATTCCTGTGTTTTCTGTAAATTGATGAGATATGTAGGGTTGCTTAGATGCAGGTTCAATTTCCTTGACACAAGAATACTTGACTGTTGGTACAGAAGATATTCTCTTGCATCACAATAGCAGACACATGATGTATGCTTGTCTCTTTTAATAAGATAGATCAGTGTGTTTAGGTGTTCTCAACTTGATCTGACAATTATAAAACTCACCATTGACATTTTATCTAATGAATATTTTCTAGATTGGCAGCAAAATGACGATTGTATCATTCCTTCTATAATTAACTAATTAATTGCTCAATGAAAGTTATGGCAATTTGCAGTTGTTATGGATTTGCTCATGTTATTTGATGAAATTTTAAATTAATGGTAACATGCTCACTGTTTGGGTGACAGGTTCAATAGAAGGCAAACCTCATGATCGTACAGTATACCCATATAGCAAACCTGTATGGGTACCCCCCTGAACCCAAAACAAATAGGTAGCAGTTGAGAAGAAAATTTACTATTCATATTGATTTAGATATTTTTTAAAAATCTAAATTAGAAATTACCCATGGTCTTACAAAAAGTATCCAGTAGAAACTTTGTGAATTTTAACAACTTAAAGTAAATTAGATATATTTATTTTTCAGTGTGTACAGTTATTTTATTGTTTTAAGAGTAGTGAATTTTTTAAACGTTTAAAAAATACTCAGTAGGAACAACTCTGGAAGGTGAAATTACTATTCAAATGTTTAAAAATGTATCTGAAATAATTTAATGACCTTTCCTGTAAGATTTGTATTTCCATGTATAGGTGTTACTTTGAGACATCAAAGATGTATCTATGCTTTTAGGACATATTTCACAAAATCTTCTCTTATTTTTCCTTGTTATATAGGTTATTAAGTGTGATATGCTGTGATCTGGACAGTCTTCTCCTATTGGAGGCTCAGTATCAAGTATCTGAAGTGTTACTAACTGCCCAGGAAGAAACTATTTTAGAGACTTCGGAGAACCACAGGTAAAAATGGACCATTAAAACACAACATTAACAGCAGTTTTCTTTACAGAGGCTTTAAGACAGTACTTTTCTGTATAATTTGTTTAGCGTTTCTTCTCTTCTCTGAATTCAATAGATTTAAATAACAGTAAAAATCAATTAAGTCATAAATGTCACGGAAAGATTATGGTGGAAGTTTTTGGAGAGGACTTGCAGAGTACTGCTTTCAGTTTGTTGCTTTTGTTGTATATTTTAGTGAAGCCCTTGCTTTGTTAATGGTTCCATGAAACTTTTCACCCTTAAGTTTGGACTGCTTGTGTAGGATGACCCACTAAACAAAATATTTGATGGGGTTTCCCATGAAGAGGCCCCCTACTCCATTGTCTTAATTATGTTAGTTCATTGTCATAAATTCTGATTATTTGCAAAATGAGGTTATGATAATATCATGATAATTTTTTCTGTTAATAAATCATATTTACTTTTGCCTCAATTTGGCTGACAGTTATCAAGTAGACATTCAATAACTGGCATTGCTTTTATGTCTATAATTTTTTTTTTTTTTTTGAGTTGGAGTCTCACTCTGTCGCCCAGACTGGAGCGCAGTGGCCGCTCCCGGCCACCGCAGCCTCGACCCACTGGGCTCCGGCGATCCTTCCGCCTCAGCCTTCCAAGTAGCCGGAATTACAGGCATGCGCTACCACGCCTGGCTGATTTTTTTTTTTTGATTTATTGTAGAGATGAGGTCTCGCTGCCCAGGCGGGTTTCGAACCCGCGGGCTCAGGCAGTCCACTCACCTCAGCCTCCCAAAGGCGCGGGATTACAGGCTGAGTCACCGAGCCCGGCTTTTTTTTTTTTTTTTTTAAAGTGTATCTTCATTCTAGCCAGGTCTTGGAAAATGATGCAGTATTACTTGATACTGTAGATCTGACGTCCAAGGAAAGGGTTAACAGTGGTGGAAAGTGTGAAGACTGCTCATAAGGACATTTAAATTTTGAACTTGCCAGTGTGGCACATAATGCCTGTAATCCCAGCATTTTGGGAGACTGAGGCAGGAGGATCACTTGAGGCCAGGAGTTTGAGACCATCCTGAGCAACGCAGTGAGACCCTATCTCTAGAAAACAGTAAAAAACTTAGCTGGCTGTGGTTGTATGCACCTGCAGTCCCAGCTACTCCAGAGGCTGAGGTGGGAGGATTGCATGAGCCCAGGAGTTCGAGGTTCCAGTGGACTATGATTGCACCACTGTACTCCAGCCTAAGCAACAGCGTGAGCCTGTATTAAAAAAAATAGATTTTTGAATTTGAGGCACTGTATCTAGGATATGAAAGAACCTTGACTAAAAATATAGTTGTTAAAGTCATTATGGAAATAATGCATATCCTAATCCCATATCTTTAAATGCAGTATCATTTGTCAAGGCAGTATACTTTTATTAATCTCATTAAATCTCCATCAGTTGTTTCTCTCTAGCAAAGAGAGCTCTAAGAGGAAAAGTAAATTAACCCTTTTATTCTAAGAGATACACTGAACATATTGTTTCCCAAACCTTTTTCTTTACATTCCAGTGACTTCATTTAAAAATTAAACTGTATTCAATTACAGAGATAACAAAGTTGATATACTTATTTTTCAGGGATTTTATAATTGATGGCTTGTCTGTAGAGAGAAATCACGTTCTTGTTAGAATAAATCTTACCGGTGGGCCATCAGAAAGGATTTTACCTCCAAGGATGCTAGAGAAGGTAAGTGAGGTAAAGAAAAGGGGACACTGTTTTTTGACACATTTTGAAGCGAGGTGGCCAGCGCAGGTGACACTAAACAACATTACCTCTCAAGTGTCTACATCACAGAGTTGAACTTCTGTTACTTGGAAAACTTTAGGATGTAAATAAGAACTTTCAAACTAGAATCATATACTTGATGGCAAGGGGTCGTGAGGGCTGGTTTGTGTAGCAGAGTAGGGTATTATTTTATTGAAAAGTTATCATTCTTTCTGTACGTCAGTATTTTACTTTCAATGTCTTTCTCTTTTGTGATATCTAATTTTTATTGTTAGATGACATATGACTTCTGTATTTCATTGACACTACCTCACCTGCTATGATATGCATAGTATGAGTCATGGAGTTTTTTAAGTTTTTGTTGTTATTAAGAACATTCTTGCTCTGTCACTTAGCAGAAGATGAGATAAATGATTGACAGCACAAGAAAACATTTTGTGGAAGAAAATACAGGTTTCTTCTGGAGATCACAGTTTTCTTTCATGAAAAAATTAGTATGGCCAATATTATCGGTTATAGTCACTAGAACAAGTTAATTATATCTATAACACAAGTTGCACTCTGTTCTAATTATTGTGCGTTGAAATTTTGAAGTGTAACATCAACTAGTTTTTTTTTTTAAGTTGAGCCTCAGTCTCTAGAATGTATGAGAAAAAAGCCAATTTAAATTAATGCTAGCTGGGCTCGGCGGCTCAGCCTGTAATCCTGCGCCTTTGGGAGGCTGAGGTGAGTGAATTGCCTGAGCCCGCAGGTTCAAGACCCGCCTGGGCAGTGAGACCTCATCTCTACAATAAATCAAAAAAAAAAAAAATCAACCGGGCGTGGTAGCGCATGCCTTAATTCCAGCTACTTGGAAAGCTGAGGCGGAAGGATCGCCGGAGCCCAGCAGGTCGAGGCTGCGGTGGCCGGGAGTGGCCACTGCACTCCAGTCTGGGTGACAGAGTGAGACTCCAACTAAACAATAAATAAATAAATAAATAAAATAAATAAATTAATTAATGCTATTTCAGGTACTTTAAAATTCGACATTATTTTAAACCACTTCCTGAAGTTATCTGCCTTCTTTATTTTTTAGGGTGATGATCCATATCCTTGGCCAATGTTTTCATCATATCCTTTACCAAAATGCTACCTGTTAGAGGTTACAAGAAGTGCTCATATAAAGCAAGGTAAAGTATTTGCTGTCAGATACCCTTTGATTGTTAATGCTTTCGTTACAATTTGAAATAAAAACGGCATTAGAGGAGATCAGTATTGGTTTTCTTTCATCAGACGTGCATGGATGCATTTATACCCATTTCTTTGTAATGTTTGGTTTTTCTCACATTTCTGACCCAACGGGTGTAATCCTGTGCTGCATAGCAACCTTTCAGTTAACAGCAAACCACATAAATAAAGGTGGGCCCCTGCAGTTAAAATTCTGTGCTTTTCTGTGTTTAGATACACAAATACTTATCACTGTGTTACAGTGGCCTGCAATATTTAGTTCCTTGACATGCTGTAGAGGTTTCTAGCCTAGGAGCAGCAGGCTATGCCATGTAGCCTGGGTGTACAGCAGGCTGTTCCGTCAAGGTCTGTGTACGTGCACTCCATGGTGTTTGCACAGGGACAGAACTGCCCAGTGATGCTTTTCTCAGAGTGTATCCTTATCCTTATCGTTGTGACACACAACTGTATTTGAGGCCAAATAATTCTTATTTCTTGTGGCTGAAACGTAATGAATCTGTCCAGCGGCAAAAGTTGCTTGGTTAAAAAAAGGAGGTAATGGCTTTTGATTTGTTGAATTAATTCTAGATATGTGGAACTTTGGTTTGTTCAGCAAAGTAATATTTTTCCATAACTGCTGTGTGCCAGAGACTTGAAGTACAGTGAAAATTATGGTACTCACTTTTGCTGAGGCATGAACTTTCAAAGCATGGGTTCAAGTTGTTCAAAAAGTATATGGCAGGAGCTAGGCGCTAAAGAGACAGACGTGCCACCTGCTAGGATAGTACATAAGCAGGACACTCACCCTTCCAAGGAAAATTATGTATAAAATGAAGCATGAAGTGTAAGTGTGTATCTTCTGCTCGATAGAGCATTTTCAGCAGAAGAAACAGCAGGGGGCCGGAAGAAGCAAGAGCTATTCTGAGTACTTTGTGTAGCTGAATTTCTGAGGTTTCGAATGCGGGAGAAGCAGTGAGACTAACACGTAAGCCGTGCCCAACCCTAAAGACCCACGGAGCACGCGCTCGGTTGTTTAGGTTTTACCCCAAGAGCGTTGACAATTCAAACTGTTTCAGGCTAGAGAATTCTAAGATGAAAGATGAAGACACAGACCGCTTATGAATTTGATGTGTTGATTCTTATGTCAGTGTGTTCTCCTATGTGATACCATCCAACTTGCAACGAAAAAAGATAGTATGTGTAACTCGTTTCACTTTCTTTTCATGCAATTTAAAGATTTTGCCTTTGTGCTTCCTTCTTGTGTGACCTTATCTACTCCTTTCAGAGATGTGGGAGTGTTAGTAAGCGTCTTCCAAGAAGGGACCCCTGAGATAATATCATTTTGAAATCTTTTTCTTTCTTTTACTTTTTTTTTTTTAATTTTGAAGAGACAGAGGCTTGCTGTGTTGCCCAACTCCAAGCTGGTCCTGAACTCCTGGGCTCAAACAGTCCTCCCCGTCAGCCTCCCAAAGTGCTGGGATTGCAGGCGTGAGCCACTGCACCTGGCCTTGTTGGACTTTTTTCATCTGACTCATAGACATCTTTTAATGAACTCAGATCATTCTAAAGCGTGAACTCTCATGCTTTTCTGTCTTAGTTTCAGTGTTTTCATCAGAATCTTTATCTTGTCATTCTTGTTTCATGCTTCACCATTTGCTCATCCATTCATTTACCGAACGTATGTTTCCTGAGTGCGTGTTTTCAGGTGCTTCAGAAGGCATTGGAGATAAGAGGATACATTCGGTGAGGTGCATCTTCGCTCTGTGCATCTAGCCTTTTCCTGGTCTTTCTTTCTTGGTATGATGTAATATTGTTATCTTTGTTACATTTTACGTGAAAATAATTCTTTATTAGTTTTTTGAATAGCTGGTTCATTATCAATTTTATTATGTGACTGCCATCTTTGGATAATTTGTTTCTTCAAAATACTTTGTAAACTAAACCAGGGAGATGGAAATCAACACATGACTAAATGAACATTCCCTGAGAAGAAAAAAATTGTATCATCAGTTCCTAGAAATCAGTGCTCAGAGCAGTATAATTTTACTTCCTGCTCTACCTTTATAAAATATTTAGAAGAGGGAATAATAATGACTTCTCTGTATAGCCCAGAGGATAGCTGCAGATGACTGACCTCAGGTGGGCATGTAATGCTGCCAGGCAGCCATATGGTATCCCCCTAGGTTACTTTCCTGTTTCCTGAATTACTGTTTTCAAAATTTCTCACTCCTCAAACCCTTCTCTCCATCTCCATCCTTCCTTTAGTTAGTGGTCATGTTTTGTACTTTACTGGTGATATAGGAAGAATGAAGAACTTCCAAGTGCTCCTGATTCATACCAACCCCCTAATTGCATCTGTGGCCGTTGAGGCTTTCTTTTCTTGCCTTGACTGAACTGCCACTGCTACTTGCAAAGGGTAGTGTCTCCATTTGTGTGCCATATTCCAACCTGCTTCTTCTTCTCAAAGATACTGCTTTTCCCCCTCCTTTTTCTTCTCTTTCTTTCTTTTTTGTTCCCTTGCCTACACTGTGATTTTGGCTGGGACAGCCCCTGTGATTGCACGAGCCAGTTCTTTGAGTCCATCTCCTTCAGGTACACATGATCTGATTTCTTGGAGGAGCCTGACTAGCAGGCACAGCACAATCAGATGGAAGCCATCCGTTCTCACATCAGTCTTCAACTAGCATTGCCTCACTTTGGATCTTGCCTACCCAGCTTTGTTTTTCTTTCAAACCTATACATTTCATTTTCTCTCTAGCTACAGCCTCCATACCAGTCTGTTTTACTTCTTCTAACTTTGTGCATCTATGTTTTGGCCTCACTGGAGCATACAGTCATTGAATATCATTTTTCACCCAACTTATGCAAACCATGAACCTCTTCTGATTGTTCTTGAACCCTACCCAGCTGGATCACCTTTACCAGGGACTTCTATGCTGTTACCGCTAATCTCCTGGGAGAAACTGATTTTTACCACTGTAATTTTTAATAATTCATTTTAAAATGACAAATGAGAATTATATATATTTATTTGTATAACATGTTTAAAAATATGTGTACATTGTGGAATGACTGAATCAAGCTACTATGTGCGTTATTTCATGTACTTACTTTTTGTGACATTTTCCAGAACATTTAAAATTACTCTCAGTGATTTTCAAATAAATAATAAATTGCTGTTACTACGGTCATCCTGTGGTACACTAGATCTCTTGAACTTATTTCTCCTGTCTAACTGAAATTTTGTGTTCTTTGGCCGACATCTGTCCTAACACCCTACCTTCTAGCTTCTGGTAACCGCTGTCTGCATTTGCTTCTCTGAGTTCAGATTTTTCAAATTCAACATAAGTGAAATCATGTGACATTTGTCTTTTTATGTCTTGCTTATTTTACTTGACATAATGACCTCTAGTTCATCCGTGTTGTTGCAAATGCCAGGATTTCTCTCTTTTTTAAGGCTGAACTCCTTCTTATTGTTGGATTTTTGGGGGGAGCAGGGGAATCTCTATCTGATATTCTCCATACATCAGTAGACATGCTGCTTATTCTTTTAAACTTAAAATATTTTGTTTTGAACCCACTTTCCTTTCACTGCAGTCCTTTTTCTGTCCTTCCTTTTACTGCAGAATTCCTTAGAGGAATTGTCTGGTTATTTCAGTTATTTTTTCCCTTCTCTCTTGAATCCACTTGCAAGCTGATTAGGCTCACAGCCCAGGTCCACCAGCCTTCAATCCACTGGTCAGATCTCAGTTCTCATCATACCAGACTTAACGGTATTACTTGACATAGTTGAACCTGTGCCCTTTTTGGAAACAGTTTCATCAGCTGGCTTCTAGAAAACAACACTTGCTTGGTTTCCTCCCTGCATTCCTGGAAAATTCTTTTGTCTTCTTTTTTGAATCTTTAACATCTCCAATCTTTAAACTTTGGAGTGCCCCAGGCTCAACTGTCTTCTTTTTTTCTAGCTATGTTACTATGAGGATCTTGTCTATTCTCATGACTGAAACACTATTACATGTACTGCTGGCTCTCTTATCTTTGCCTCGGATCATTATCTTATGCATCTCTGTCTACTTGACATCTCTGCTAGGAAGTTTAATAAGTGTTTCAAATTTAACATGTCTCAGCTCATCTTTTGATTCTACCCCCAAATCTGTCCTTTGGCATGTTCTCCCTTCTCAGAAATGACCCCTTTGTGTGCCCAGTTCTTCGGGCTGGAAACCCAAAGGCATTCCTGCACTCCCCTCTGTCTTCATTCCTCGTATCCCATCCATTGGCAGATACTGATGAATCTACATATCTAAACTAGCACCTCTTTCATCTCTCACTTGCTGCAGTATCCTGCCAAGTGTCTAGTCGGTTCTAACAGAGAAGTCAGAAGGATGCTGTTGAACCATGAGTTAGAGCATCCTACTTTACTCATTGATATTCTTCAGTGACTTCCCTGTGGCTTGTAAGAGCCAACGTTTATGACATCCTTCCTGGCATGTGGGAGGATGGTACGCTTGGAAACCTTATTTTATTACTTATTTTCTCACCCTCCTGGAGAGGAACTTTTATCGTTTTTCTGTTTGTCCCTAAAACATGGTGTTTGAATAAGACATTACTCTCCATTTAAGGCAAGTATCTGATACTTGCTCCTAATAAGAGAGAGCCTGACATTACCATGGTTCTTGCTAAAGAGGAGAGAATGAGCTAGGCAGCAGTGGGGAGCCTAAGAGGAGCTATTACAGAGGGTTAGCTCATTCATGATGGCTGGTTTCTTGCTGATCAGGAACATGTCCCGCTTTCCCTTGTACCTGAGAGAGTCTAGTGATGGGCGTGTCTTTGAACTCAAAGAAAAAGCCAGATGCATTTCTTTCAGGTATAAGGCTAAATCGAAAGTAATGTGTCTACTTAAACGCAGTGAAATAAAAATAAGCATGACTAATGCACTTTTAAAATACCATTCTTAAGTTAGTAA